AGGGGTGTTGTAGCTATAAAAATAAAACAGCTGAGAACGATCTGACTAACAGGATGGAACATGGCTGCTTGAAATCACCTCATAATGAATTCGCACGGGTGGTCTCCGCTAGCGATAATCCAAATACATTATTTCTCGTTTAACCGTCACTTTCTTCGGGTGATACACAGCATTAGGGCGCAGGAAAGGTGAATTGCACGTGACTTAGCCTCTATTAGTAATAGGCTTGTACTGAATCTACCACATTCTCTCATCCTGTCCAATCCGGTCCCGGTATCTTGAATAAGTTGAGAAGGCTGGAGACGGGGAACGGCGCAGGTGGCTGGCGCGGCCGGAGCCGCCTTAAGCATGTACTGCTGTACTCGCCCGTTTCTCACGGAGTAAGAATGTCACTTAATCAAGAAGGAGGCACTACAGCCACCAGTCCACCAGTCGGCTACTCTGCACAAACATGCACTGAGCTGACTAGAAAACTCAAGTTACACCGTCAGTTGGCAGTCCTTCAGGCAACGGCTTTCAGCGCATCGTGCTAGCTTCAAGTGCGTCAGCTTGTTTTTACTGGCTAAAATCGGATGAGAACGGGGCTTTCTACGTGAAAGGGGACTGGAGAGTAAGTTCAACGGTTCAGCGCCTTTTCCTCACTACCTCCAACCTAATGGATTGGAAGCTATCACGGTGCGCTAACACTGTGGCCTGCATGGTTGTCAACTGATGAGATAACCTCAGTTTTGCAGCCAGCCCAGCTTGTATTTGTGTGGTGTTGGACTGGTGGACCGTGAGTCAGGTTGTAATCGCTCATCCTTAATGCGGTCTTTATAGTACTCCTACTACGTGGTATCCGAACAAAGCCTGGCGGCACTTTAGAGGGCGGCTCCGGCCGCACCAGTCACATACATCGTCTCCCATCCCCGGCCCTTTGACCGCATCGTGACACCGGTTCCAGATAGAGGAGGGTGAGAAAGTGCGGTAGATGAAACGCAAGTTGGTTTCCACTTAAAACTAATGCACGCGTAAGCCACTATGTTTGCTTTCAGCTCGCTGAGGCACGCCGTTCACAGGTTATACGCATATATTTTCTGTATTTGAATGTATACAGGTATTGCAAATAAAGGAGAAAAATCACAATACTTGAGTCGTTATTTTTTTTACAGTGTGGCTTATAACAGGCGGTCCCCAAGAGAGCCGGTTAAAAGTCGGCGTGACTGTAATACCTTGGGATTATGCTGTAAGATAATTAATATCACACCCAAATTCAGGTAATCTTTTCGAGACGGATTCAGTAATGCAGTTGGCGAGCATACGCAAGCCTTCGATAAATTATAATTAAATTGAGCTCATTTCCAAGTGCATCTACTCATTTAATTGCTCCTATGGGGCAGGTTATATCGCTCGCACGAGTCGACCCCTATCCAAAAGAATCCGGGAACACCTACCGTCATGGCTGAGTAAAACTGAAGTCAGGAGAATAAAAATGGCTACCTTCGCGCGCATTGTTGATTCTAGACATCGTGTGGACCCCAACGATTTATAAAGTCCACCAAACTATCCAAAGTGTCTGGGCCAGCGCCCGTTAGCAACAGCAGAAGCGACCGCTATCCCATCGAGGAAGCCGGCACTGTGTATACAAATAAACTTCCGGCAGCGTCCGCATTTAGCCTGGCGAATGGTCGGTTATATAATGGAGGTGATCCGTCTGGATGGGAAGTGACGCCGACATACTGGGAGAGTGCTACTTTGTGGGTAAACGCAGGCGCGGGCCGTGTGAGGTATCGTGGTAAAGAGCGCGAGACGAAAGTTGCAACGTGTGCCGTGGGCTGGGGCGGCTTTTAAGAGGGAGAGGCACCAGACATCTTTGCCGAAATGCAGCTAAAGAGCACCATCCCGGA